GTTATCGAGATATCGGGAATTGAAAGTGGATTTTTTTACTCTACGCCAACCTTGCGACTACAACATCTCAGAAGCTACTTTACTTACACAATGAAGTTTCCTGTGTCTTTTATCGAATCCCATGGAGGCTATTGGTCTGTCTGTACTAGAGTTGATTTTGGGACCAGAAAGCTTGATTTTGGAGCCCCTCCCGTTCAGATACTTAAGGGTACTCATAGCCCAGCTGGTTGGTGGGAATAAATGAAGCTGAAGAGGACCCTCTAGTGCTCTTAACCAATCCGTCTCGTTCTCTTTGAAACTAGACATGCTCCTGGAAGTGATTAATGTCCACTGCTTCTCATTCAAGAAAGACGACGGGACTTAATTAATCTCAAGATATCGGATTTGATGGATTACATCGCAGTAATCCAACAGGGAGCTATTTCCGACTGGATTTTCAGCTTCCTTCCATTCCAGTGAAAAACATCGATTACGTCTATGAAGAAAAAAAACCGAATGCATATTCTTTCAAAACTATAATTATTTTTATTTTCTTCGTTCGTCTTTACCTTTTGATGTTGCCAGCCGTAGGTATTTTGTCATTTTCAATAAATTCAATTATAACCATAAAAAAAAAACATTTTAATGTTCAAAAATGTTTTCCCGGTCTAGTTCCATACTTGAATATCTTATCATGCTTGTGTAGTCCGTAACTACACACAGGCAATGTCCTAATTGTTTAAACCATGGCATTTTAGTGTGTATTACTTGAACTTCATGTAATTATTACTTTAACTCTTCGCCACTGGCTCATATCATTTGACCTCAACGTGTACAAAGTCACACAAAATAAAGCATGAGCTCTTAAGCTCAACTCTGTTAATAGGTGGAGTTGGTATTTTATTCACTTCTTTATTTTTTCCCTTTTAATTAAACCTCTGTTGCCCTAATCAAAAGTGGTGTGCAGACTAGAGTTCTAAGCAAAACAATTCTAAAAGGACTTAGCCAATATCTATTTTTCTGACACTGAAATTGAATTTGTATTCAAAGTAATTAAACACTTTAAGCATTGAAGACAGGCTAGAGCTTCAAAGCTCGTCATGTATCGTGTAAACACTGTGACGCAGAACCTTTGTACCAGTCACAACCAGAAAAAACACGCTAACAGATTACACTGAATATTAATTTACAGTACACTGAATATAAGAAAACATAGATCACATTTATTATCAAATAGTAACGCACTCTTCTAGTAGGCATAATCAATAATACCCATACAGGTTTAGATGGATACAAAATATACTTTTCATGTTGGTACATGAAAGTAAAAAATTACACTTTAGTATGATACATCGTACCAAAGTTATCCTTTTAAAATTGTCCAAACTTATTACTCTACGAAATGATAAGTGCACCCCAAATATTCAATTGATTGAATTATTTGAATAAAAGTTACAATTAAGAATCGTATTTACAAATTTACAAAATCCCAATTGGACTGAAACGTGGTGTTCAAATAAAAAACACGTAAGGAAATGTGAACAGATTAAGGAATAAGATTCACGTAAATTTAGATAATGGAAGTTGCAAACATAATTCAATTTCATAGATGAAAAAGATACATTATGTAAGGCTAGACGTAGCTATTCAAACTCAATAACAAAAATCGTTTCTAAAAGTTACTGAATTTTTAATCACTATAGATATACTCTAGATAGTATCTCTGTGTTAATGTGTTAAGTTTCATATTTGTGTAGTTTTTTCTTCTCCGTTATTAATAATGTTCATGCACTCGAGATGTAATCGTAAGAACTATATTTTTTTACATTAGTATAAACATTTCAATTCTTGATCACTCTTTGTAATAATATATACTTGCCTCTAAACAGGAATATTTGAAATGTGATTTACTTAAGTTAAAATATATCATCAATTTTACGATACATTGTATATACAATAAATGTAAGTATTTTACAAACTATCTGCGGATGCTACTTATGTTATGTACAGCAGTTGGCATGATTTCATGAGAGCGAAGACAACAATTTAAGTAAATGCTATACACTACCAAGGAGAGCAGCTTTGATTCAATCGAAAGACACACTTTCAGCTAATTATTTACAACGACATAACTTTTTTTTGTTTTACTGACACATAGTTTAATAATATAAATGTACTTATACACAGACGACAGCGTAAGATCTTAGCGAAAGCCGAGATCATGTGGAATTTAATGAAATGTTTTACCAAGATATTCTTTTTCAAGAGGGTGTCTTTTAACTATTGATTATATCAATAAGTCATCATAAATGAAATAATACAATAAGCATAATAATTAAGTAAGATGGGAGAATACATTGAAATTTCGATGACAAAAAGGAAAAGGAGGAGAAAAAGAAGTTATACTACAGGGAGCCTTTGGCAATCGTAATTTTAAAACGTTAGCCTATGACCAAAATAATACTTTGGATTATTACGTTGCATTAGCGACTTCGTTTGTCCGTAATTTATTACAAGGACAAGTACAAGTATATTTCTAGTTGTAAATAAAAAATGTTGAACCACTGCCAGTTAAGAGTCTGGCAAATATGTACAGAGCTGAATAAGCGGCTTATATTTTTCCAATACATTGCATTTTCATGATAAAGGTAATGCTTATAATTGAAGTCATGCTCTGAATATACGTTACGTAGATCATAACAGTATATGACCTTGATGGTAAGGTTTTAGCTTCATTTTTTCATCATACCATTTACTCTCATCATTACTCTTACATTAGTGACACGAGAGTATTATAAGGCATTGTCCTTATTTAAAAACAACCCACAAAAATATTGACTATATATTACAACATAACACGCCATATGGGAAAAAAATATCAATCATATGACATTGAGCGTCTACTTCAGGTACAGAAAACGATGTTAAAATCATCAACTCAATTTGAAATGGGGTCTCTTGAATTAAGTCATTAATTTTCGTTATAGAGAGACATCTGTATATCTGTTGTATCAAGTGTGAACATGAATCGTTGAATGCAATTATCTAATCATGGTGATCACAAAAGCCCCTATTTTATATCATACTCCGCAAATGCGAAATTACATGTGATGACAAGGAATAAATGTAATAAACGTATCATTGAAATGTTAATCAAGAGTCATGACAGGAAGTTAAAACTGTGATTTAATGACATTTTGGGAAGGAAATTGGCTGGAGGTAATATTATTTTCCTTTTTCAACGAGGGAATGAACACAGTTGTTTATTTTTTCTTGACTTAAATACTCACAACACAAGTAGTAATGTAATGATAGTAATAATATAATAATTATTAGGTAGTAGTAATAGTATTACTATTTGTACTAGTAGTAAATAGAAGTAGCAGTTACAGTGGAAGTAGTCGTACTATTAGTAGTAATCCTACTACTACTACAACTGACACCGCTACTATAATAACTAAAAAATGTGTATTGTTACTCCTATTGTGACAGTAGTAATAGTAGAAGTAGTAGAACTAGTAATATTAGTAGTACTATAGTAGTAGCGGCAGTAGTATTATTAGTAAAAGTCGTCGTAGTAGTAGTTATAGTAGCAATGATCATTTAAATAGCAGGAGCACCGGCAGCAGTAGAAATAGCAGTGTTCATCGTTATTAGTGCTATAGAACTGGGGATAGTTGAATGTGATTTTTCGAATTGAAATTCAAACAAGGCAAATTATGATCTACGGAAGAAATATCGTTTCTTGGAGGTATGTAAATTAATTCCCATTTTATGATAGCAGTTTCAATAAAAATAAAATGCCAAAGGTCTATCATACAAATTCGTGCATAAGTAGTCCAAAAGAGGAATGACAGTAGTCGAAGTCGTAGAAGGAATAACAGAAGCAGCAGCAGCAGTAGTAGCAGTAGTAGTAGAAGATGTAGTAGTAGTAGTATAAGGAGAACTTGTAATAGTAGTGGTAGTAGAAATCATAGTAGTAGAAGTCATAGTAGTAGAATATTGGTATGGCTGTGAGTGCTTGTTACCACGAGCACTGCTTGGAAATTAATAATTAAAAATAGCTGGAATAAAAACAACAACACAATTTTCATGAACAAATATTGGCTATGTTTTATAAGTGAATTTTCCATTTGTTTACTAAATGCTAGCGATTGAAGCAACATCAGCAGTACTTCTTGTGGTAGTGACAGTAGTATTAGTAGCAGTTGGAGTAGTAGTAGTAGTAGAGGTAGAATTAGTAGTAGAAGTAGTAGTAGTAGTAGTAGTAGTAGAAGTATATGTACTGCTAGTAGTGGTGGTGGTGGTGGTGGTGGTGGTGGTGGTGGTATTAGTAGCTGTAGTAGACAACAAATAATATAGGTGTAAATTACATAAACTTTATATATAACTAAGTAATAGCTGCAGTAGCATTATCATGAATTGAAGTAGTATTATAGTAATAATAGAAGTAATAGTAGCAGTATTATTAGTAGGAGTAGTAGTAGTATTAATAATAATAACATCCGTTTCAGCTGCAGAAATAGTAGATGTACTAGTAATTGTGGTGATGATGGTGGTAGTGGTGGTGAAAAGGTGGTAGTAGTGGAATCAGTAATAGTATTAATATGTTTTATCAGTCGTTATCATTGTCGTAGTAGTAGCAGTACCAATAATGTAAGTAGCCTCAACATTAGAATGAGCAGCAACACACATAGCTAATAGAAGCAATATAATTAGTATTAGTAGTAGTTGTTGTTGTAGTAGTTGTAGTAGTAGTAGCAGGGGTAGAAGTAGTAATAGTTACTGTAGTACTAGTAGTGGTAGGAGCAGCAGCAATAATAGTAGTAATGATAGTAGTATTTGTAATAGTAGAGTCTAGCCTGCTTTAGTGACCACCTGTATAAAAAGACTACCTGTCTGCAAAGACCCCATTTTCCCCCTTGATAGGTCTTCATAGACAGGTTTCACATTAGTAGAAATAGTAGTAGTATTAGTAGTAGTAGAATTAGAAGAAGAAGAAGAAAAAGAAGAAGTAGTAGTAGTAGTAGTAGTAGTAGTAGTAGTAGTAGCAGTTGCTGTTGTTATAGTAGTGGTAGCAGCAGCAATAGCAGTAGTGGTAGTAGTAGTTGGAGGAGGAAGAGAATGAGAGTAGAGGTATGAGTAGTCAAATATGTCAAGTCACTATGTTAATTTAACATTTAATGTTAACCATATTCCAAACGCCCAACAAACCAACCAGATCGTAAAACACATTTGTGTGGACCCGGTAGCCTTACTAGTCTCAAAGGGCAATCAAATAATTGTAATATGTTCGTTTGTGTGAAAGCAATAACAAAATTGAGAAAAGGAATTGTCAAAGCTGGAAAGAAATTACGATAAACAACAAAATGTATGGATGTTTGCAATATGAGAGCTCTAAATCCACTCAACTAATGAGATATGTGGCTCGTGAGGCATCCCCAACTCTTTCATTTGTTATTAACTACATATCTTTAATTTCTGTTTTTGTTTTAAAATTGTCTTCTCCCTTGGGGAACTGCCCCGAGTATACCATGAATAGAACATTGCTATAGATCCTCCATAAAGAAAATATCATTCTGATTAATGAATATCAAACAAAAGGCATTTTGGTCATATTGTGTGTTCGAACAAATTGAGGTGTTGTCCGGCACTTCATCGCAGTGACAATAGCGACCCAGCCAATTTGAATATCCCGATGCACACAAATTATGATTCAATCTTCAAAAATTCATAAATTGTATTGTTGGAGTTCACGTGACCTTCTGACATGTGACATAAGTGAATAATAAACGACAGAGTGAGAAGAGAAGAAACCTTCCGATTAGGATCTCAGATGGGTGCTTTTCCATTTTGTTCTCATATTGGAGTCCGATTTTGTGGGAGTTCAGTGTAATACTAGCAGATTAAAAATATTCTGTGTGGTTCCGATTCGATTAGTTAGGACCTCCTTTGTGAAGAAATGATTATACAGGATTGTATGTTTGACAGTTTGAAGCATATTTAATGCTTTAAAAACCTTACTTCATAGGAAAATAGATATCCTCTGAAAATTTGATATTGGACAATGTGATATTTTCGCCTTGATTTGTTTACCTTCTTTATAACATTTAATTTATTCAAACTCGGTTAAGCGTTAACAAAAATAATTAATTAGCATAACATTGCATTATATTGTAGTATTATAGTATCTTAATAGTAAATTATATTATATCTTCTGTAAGTAATTTAATACGTGTATGCCTAGGTATTACAACATAACATTGCACAAAGTCATACGTAGCAAATGCTTCTGTTTTAAAAGTTCTATAGCCTGATGTACGGCTGTTTACGGGTTATTCCTTGTGACAGAAACTCACCCATTTACTCAGTCCTTCCGCGTCCTCCACGACCATCATGATCCTTACCTAGAGGTATGATACCCCTGTTAGAGGGCGCATCGGTCACCCGGGTGATCATAGAGGACTCGCCTTGTATCTTCGTGAATTCCGTGCGCGAGTTTGACGAGGAAAAGCGGACTGAGTATCGGTTGTAATAACCCCCATCATTGTTCCCTCGCGCACAGCAGCATAAAAAACGGTTCACGGTCAGGCGAAATTCTTTCCAACACCTCTGTGATGTGTTAAAGTACAAGAAAATGTACGGATTGGTCGCTGAATTTGCAACAGCGAACAAGCCAAAGAAGGCATTAACTACCCTATTTATCGGATCTGATCTGAATGTGGCTAACATTTCAACTACAAAGTAAGGCGCTCCACAAAGAACAAAGAAGAAAATGATAACGACACTCATCTTCAGTGTCTTGCTTTTTGCTTTGGTCAGCGTGGTACTGGAGGCATTACGATTGAGTTCAATCTTGTTCTTCTTGCTCGCTCTTTTTGATCGTTTGCCGGATGTCTCATGAGCCTTGTCCCATATCTTCTTCGATATGCGTAGGTATGCAACCGTGATGACAATGAACGGTACGAGGAAGGTGATGACGGCGATGTATACGATGTATGCCATACGATGCCAAGCTGGCAGTTGCCGGAATAAGGATCCACATTGGGGTTTACCTTTACGGATCATCTCTTCCCATACGTAGAATTGTGGAAGGGCCAACGAGCCTGCTATTCCCCAGGATATCACCACCAGTTTCCAGGCGATGAAGAATTCCTTGAGGGGTTGCAGGACAGCTTGGTGACGATCGAGGGCCATTAGAGCCAGCATGTTGGCCGAAGATATGAGAGATGCACCTTGAAGGTACATCACTACCTTACACATGAAATTTCCTGCCAACCATGAATTGGACATCAGTATGATAGCCGTTGGGAGAATTGAAAAGAAACAGACAGACATATCCGCACTGGCTATTCCTAGAACGATAGTGTTCACGCGAGATTTTCTTCTGCGATTCAGGTGCATCCATATCATGACCATAGTATTTCCTAAGACACCAAACCCGAACATTACCCACAAGCTGGCGATCTGTATTGTTAATCCCAGTTCTCTTTGGCCTTGTGAAGAGTCTGTATCCATGTCCGTTGTGGTGTTTGCTACTGCTGTAGCATCAATCTCACTCCACTCGGTGAACTCCATAGCTGCCGAGGGTGGGGTCATTCTCATGGTAGACATCGCGTAGTTAGTCAGTTGCTCAATGGTAACTTATGGCACCAATGGTGACGGATCTGTAGCATAAAGAGAAAACAAAGGAGATAATGAAATGACGATGAAGGTTATGCTCATCAGGTATTGTATATTCCAACACAACGTTGCATATGTACATGTATCTTGGGTAGATGGTAACAGACATACCACAAGGAGTGTCGCTCTATCATATCTCCTTTTTTGTGAGGTTGGAGATGCATAGAATAATTGTTGAACAATTAACAAAAAATCCGCTGATTTACATATTTGCCCAAAGTGTTAAAAACAAATCATTAAGTTTTAAATTTTCAGAGAACATTTTTGAAATCACAAGTTGGCTTCTACAATGCACAAACAGCATACTTTCCAGAACAACTAAGGCCCATAAGATGACTTTGATCAATACAACAAGGTAATCATATTTTAATGATTAATTCTTTTAAATCTTCAGTTTCCTACACTATCAACAGACAATCATTTTTTCTCTCTCTTACACTTGATTTGTTCAATGTGGACGCAACGATACTCTCCATTACTTGATAATAAAGAAGAAATTTACGGAAATGTGTTCGAGGCAAATGGATCGATGCCTGAGGCATATCATCTGAAGAAAGTAAATGGGAGGACTATTTTTATGACAGAGATGAGGAAGACTATATCCGACAGAGGTAAGAGGTCTAGAGTAATTTCAATTCCTGATCAATGTAACACTGGAATTCATAAGCAAACACAAACATAAGTCGAAAGAAACGAGAGAGCATCGGAAACGAATTCTTTAGAAACGTGAACGATGTGTTCCTTGTGTTTCAAAATAAGAAAATCGTAACGCCGTACTAATTGGAAATGCACAAAATAACGGATGTGGAGAGGATAATTGATTGATTACCTTTCAAAAACGGGTACGCCTTTAATCAGGGGCCAGGGGTACTGTAAATGTAACAACTTGCCAGACTTTGTTTTTGTTTGAATTCTTTTTACAAGTTTCACTCATGTGTCTATTCATGAATGAGACTGATTGATTGTAACGATTCTGTTAAATGTCAATTACCATGTTCGTGTATCTTTAGGTAGCAGGAGGGGGGGGGGGGAGACATGACTTGATACTTTCATAGACAAACAAAACAAATATAAGCTGCATGCTCTCCTGACGCTTATTTTTAACGAGTACACAATATGCGTAGCCGGGTTGTCGCACACAAAAAGCGGGGCAAAGTCTTATTAAGAACGTAGTGGGAACGCCATTATCGTACAAGCAGTCCTGTAGCATCGTGGTGAGATGTCTTTGTCAAAATCACGTAATAAAAACGCAGCAACGTCGGCAACTTTTTCAAGCTGCTAGTAGGCCGTTCAACTCCGAAGTTGGGGAAGATCTGAAGAAATGCTTGAACACTCCCGATTTAAATAGTCATTGCCACTAATCGTAGTAGAAGCGTACTAGAAGCTTAATATGGTCAGCAGCAGCGTAGCGACACCGTCCTACAGTCTTCTTGGTCTTTATAACAACACAGAATGGTCATGTACGTCGTAGTGACAAAGACGTAGAAACGACCACTTTGTCGGCACTGGTCTTGGTGTACTAGTGGCAGCGATTCAGCAGAGCTTTTGACGTAGAAGCATCGCAGTACACGTGATGTAGACTTTAGTTTGCCAAATTGCTGGAGTTAGACTGCGATAATGCCCCGATTTTATTATTTCTTAAGATTGGGGTGGTCGGCATAGTCTTCGTAAAGGTCGCATCGATGTGTGACCGGTGTATAAACGGGGTATATATTACGTGATTTAGGCATTATTGCAACTACTGCAATTTTGCATGGATGAATCGTTGGAAACAATTATTGTTCCAGAGTTTAATTTGATGGAACGGCTAGTGAAGAAACTGAATCATTTCCTAACACTTAGCCAGAACAGCACGCAATTTTGTAAACGCTTAGAATTCTTTCAACCGGCATACGCATGCATACACATACTGTTTAGTATTACTTCATGAATCTCTGTACCTGAACTATTATGATCTTCCCCCTTCTAATTGAGTACTCGATTTAGCTCAAACATAACAGGTGCGGTTGATTGTCCATCGCTAGAGCCTCATTGCAGGACATGACCACACCGATGGAAAACAACTAGCCTGAAGAAAAACAAAAACATTTACTTCTAATACCCATTCCGAAAAGCAATTGAAAATAAAATCTATCTACCAGAAACAAACTTAGATTGTTCCAAATTAACTCGATCGATTGAAGTGAAATCAAATTATTCTGCATCTTTCAGAAACGACAATAATACCACTATTTTCCTAAATTGTTAAACGTAACAAAGTTGGGGTTGGCATTAAATAACACTATTTTCAAAGTTACCGAATACCCACGAGCCATCTTATTTAATATACGCCGATATATTATTTTGCTTCCAACTAAGCTAATACAGAGACCGTGCGGGAGGAAACCATGAAAAGAGGATTGGGAAATAGAGAGAGAGAGAGAGAGAGAGAGAGAGAGAGAGAGGAGGGGTGGAGAGGTGGGTTGGGGAGCATAATATTTGTGACATATGTTTTTTTAGGTTTGAACTGAGAAACCACTACGGAATGGAAATTGGAATTATGAGACATCGAAGTTATCCTACAAACATGATAACGGTTGTCTAAATGCCGGGTTAGGGCGACCAAGTCTGTCTCATGGACCCTCAAATCTAATTTTTCAAAAGACCTGCGAAGTCGATATTATCGTTCTCCTGGGCTGTAGCCTACTTGGCATTTCGTGAATATGATCACGATCGAATGTTTGTATGCAAACGGGTTGTATGGTTGAAGTCGTAAGTTTTGTTGAGATAACTGACATTCAGCATGCAACCCTTTATGTAGTTGATGCAGTTTATGATTTACGTTTTTTTAAAATAATTCGAACATAATTCTGGGATGAAATTTCAGACCTGTGAAAGAATGATCACTACGTGTTCTGTAATAGATAAAACATTTAACTGTTTTACCCATTTTACCCCTCAGCTAAATCAGGTCTCGACATAACAATATATTTTAATATGTAATGTTAAATTGTCATATAGACTAACGAGAACATAAAACAATGCCAAATTCATCTATATATTTCCACAAACATCCCATGAACGCATTAGCCCAGATACCTTTTTGGTCATTTGCAAAACTTGTCTTTTGGCTTATAACTCTTTGAGCGTTATTTTTCCTCCTGGAATCATGACTTTTTGAGTAGTTTGTATTTAAAGCGCAGTGCTCACTCGTACTATCAGTTTCAGGCTTGTCCATATAAGACGCGGCGTTTTTTTTGATTTTGTTAATGATGACCAAGTGGAATACACTTCACATCACAGAGCTATAGAGATAAGTTAATACGCGCAAAACGCAGTTGCCATTCATTTTATACTATTATAAAAACAAACCAAATCAAAACAAATCGCGATTAAGTTCTTCCTGAACAAGCCTTTACGTGGTTCTTAACAGCAATACATGGCTAAGTTTATGAAAAATATGAATGCGCCTTCCGCCGTTGATTATTAACGTTTAATAACCCTTCCAATATAAATTGTTAATATTCAAATGTCTTCATCGGGTTAAAAACATTAGCCGAACCAGCTTTTCATGAGGATTGCATGACTGTGCCTCTCCAAACGGATGTCACTCTTCACGGCCTACTCTGATATGATAAGGAATTATAATCCAGGCGGTGTATTGATATACAAATAAACCAGCGCAAGGCGGGAACGGTCACTCCAATTCAATATTACGTGTAATCTAATGACGTCCATTAAATTCTGCTATGCTGAACACATCCAAATATTTAGACGTATTATACGCGTGTACTTGACCTGGGCTGGGTATTTATGAGGATAATAAAAGAACACATTTCCTCTCATGCTGACACGTAATTGGGTCTATTGACCGCAAGGGGAGAAAGAAATATCTCTACAGGTAATATTACAATGTCCAGACGACATATATATGTATATAATATATATATATATATATATATATATATATATATATATATATATATGCCGTATAGTTTGTGTTGTTGTTGTTGTTGGTGATGTGTTTACGAGAGCTTAATTTGACCCGAGCGTCGCATTTTTGTTTTAGTTCCAACAAATTTAAAAAGGAAAACAAATGTGTTCATAGAGAATGCGTGACAAAGACACGATGCAGGTTATAATACATTAAGAAGACATGCCAAATGTAAATATTTCGCATTACATATTTTCCATGTTACCGTCACAAAGACGGTTATCTTGATTCAGTTACGGAATAGCGTATGACAACGAGCTGACGCCTTAATACCTCGTAATATATGACCCTATTTTCGGATCACATGAACAGAATGTGTCTGATCTCTTATGTCGCGTTATGCCGTATTCACGGAGTTGTTATGTCTTGCATCAGTATGGGAGTCTAAGTATATAAAACATGCTTCATTTTATGAAAATATTTATAATGATAATAATAGTAATTGTAATAAATTTAGATTTTGTACGGCGCTTAATAATAGGGAATACCGTCTCAAGCGCTTTACAGAGATCATCATTACCCTGGTCATCAGAATCTTTCACGCACACAGGCACAAACACTCCCTGGGGGGGGGGGGGGTACCAAAACCATTATGGTCACTGTGGAGGGGGGGGGGGTTCTATCACAAAGGTTTTCGTCATCCTATCAGGGCCCAAAATCTCTCCTGTTTATGGAGAGGCAAATAAAGACTAAAGTCTTGCCAAAGGTCATCAGTGTCGTGCCGGGAATCGAAGTAACGACCTTGGTATTTCCATTTAAGTGCTGGACACCTCTACGATAATAAACATATTTGTAAGTTGATATCTGTAACATATAAATCTTTTTGCACTTTTTAGTCAATTTATGTGGGTATATCATATGCAAATGGTCAATGCTTTCACCCCCACTTTCCTACCGTTGGCTCCCTTCGTGAGTAATACAAACGATATGTGAAATGAATTCGGTAATAATTCAAAGAGACTCCTTTCACTAATACCCACTTACTGAAGAGCCAGAAACAAAAACAAAAAATCTCTCGTATTTCAAGAAAAGTATGCAGATATACATGATCTTGTTTAGGGTTTACTTGAATTAATTCTAAAAGAAGAAACAGAAGACACATTATTAAATCTACAATGAGAAGGTGACATAGTTCGATGGCTATACCAGATGGTCAATTCAAGTTATTTATTTCATTAAAACAAATTAATATAGTTTCTGGTTTGATAATATAGGATAAATTTAAAAATATTCTTCAACTTTGCTTCACTAAGCCACCAAATAGAGGGATCGATCGATCGATAGATGGATATATATATACATGTATATCTTTATAATATATATACATCATATATAGAGATAGAGAGATAGAAAGAACGACAGACAGACAGGGAGAGAGAGAGAGAGATAGAGAGATAGAGAGAGAGAGAGAGAGAGATACATAGATAACTAAAGAGAGAGAGAGAGAGAGAATAAAAGATGCACAACTGACAATAATAACATGATTTAGCCAACGTGAGTCATCCATTGCACATGACGCCTTCTTGATAAAACATAACATGAATTCAAAGCCTTTTTGCCGAGAAAGAGAATCATGCACCCTAATATTATTTACATTTTGATGAGCATTGAGACAGTTAGCATTATGAATATATTGCGATAATAATCCTTTACTTCGTAACAGCCTTATCTTGACTAAATCCATTTTGTATTCAATAATATGTTTGTCATGCTTGTCTATAAGATACCGAAATGTCTAGCAATGATAATGTGAGGGAGGGAAAACCGCTAAAAGAGATATAATATGTTAAGAGAGACCGGGAGAGAGAAAGAGAGAGAGAGAGAGAGAGAGAGAGAGAGAGGGGAGGGAGAGAGGAAGAGAAAGATCGAGAAAAGGAGTGAGAAAGAGAGTATTTGTGTGTGTGTGCATTTTAGAGTGAATATCATTGACAGACTGACAGTGTATGACAGAAAAGAAGGAGAGACCAAGACACAAATAAAGGTGGGGGGGGGGGGGGGGGGAAGACAAAATGCTCGTGTAGAAATATCGTAGTGCAAGTGAAAATGAAGGTACAGATGTAGAGCATATTTGTCATAGTAAAGTAAGTTTAAAGGGATAGTTGAGTTCTTGTTCAAGATCGCAAATGCCTTCAAAGTTCATGGTTATTGCTTTTATTGTTAATTTTGACATTTCTAGTGCCCTTTTAGGACCTAAAAATTGCTATGAAGATAATTTTAGACAAAACGTGTAAAATTTAGATTAAATCCGATCTTACCAATTTAGCTCCACTTTCAAAAAAATTACGGCGACCGTTATTTTCATTTGATTTAATTTAATTATAACAATACACGGGCCGGCTGATTGTGCGTATTAAAAACACAACAGAGCCAACAAATTGCCAACATTGACATTGGCTTGAATAAAACGTTTAAGGCGCTATCTCGTTTTCTCAACGGCTGGTTCAAAATTATCGAATATTTGTGCGGCCCCACAAATATTAGAAATGGTCATATTTAAGCATATTTCAGCCATCCTCTGAACAGATTTCGAACAAACAAAGATGATTGTGTCATTTAAATTGTATGCTCTTTCAAATTTAACACTCAGTTTTTCATTATCTCACATTCTTTTGTGTGTAGCGCCCTCAATACCAAAACTAAACTTTTCTTTTAAAGAGGGTTAAGGAAAAAAACAACTTTCTCTCCTTTTTACTATCGGTCGTTCTTTTGTTGGAGGCGTTTATATTCACGGTTTACAAATTTGTGTTTCAGTAATGGACAGTTTTATTGTCTACTGAAAAGAGTCTTTGTTTTTAAATAATATATTATAAAACAAATGATGATGGTGATCATGATGATGAGGGTGATCAATGATTCTATTAACTATGATGGCGATAATTATGCTTATAAGAATTATAATTTCAACGATAATGATAATGAAACTAATGATGATAATTATAACAATAATTAAAATAATAATGATAATAATAAAGGTACTAACAACATTACTGTTGTAGTTATGTTGTAGTTCTACATTGCATAACACAAAATAAACACTCTGTGGGCCTTTTAGAACTAGAGAGAGAGAGAGAGAGATAATACCAATAAATAATCTGAGGGGGATTAACGTGCATGCAAATACAATTTTGAAAACAACTTTGTTAACCACCGATGACTTCACAAGAGAACTTACTAGATTATATATGTAGAAAGAAAGTAATAGATAACGAGAAGGGGAGAGAGGGAGAGAGAGAGAGAACAAAGAGGTGCCAAAGCGACTTAATTCATACTTATAAAAATTGATATTCACAATAACCGCCAGTAGCACCCATCGCCGCATTTAGGACGATTACTTTAGATTAACGTCTGTAGGCCTTGAAGGCTGAATGGTAAATAGCAGATTATCATCCCTACTGAAATCAAACATTCATAGAACATTTGAAAATTACCACGAAATTGGTCTTGAGTTTTTTGAGTAGCCTGTCAATTGATCCCATGATGCTAAGCATCAACAAGGACATTTGTTAAATCAGCCGATGATAAGATAAGAAATACGAACCTTTTGGCCGGGTGTTCAACAATGGCCAGGGGGAGCTGCGACCCACACAAGAGATATCACGGGAAATACTCCAAGCAAATCACAAGCAATCCAACAATGTAAACTGCGCTTTTGGGTCCATTTCTCGAGGAGTTGTTTTAAATTCCACAAAGAGAGACTCGAGTTCCACAGGAAATCCCGCTTCCCCACACAACGCATTCATCCATTTACCGTGAAGACAACCACCCAAACTATTCGGTTTCACGCAGGATTGAGGGAGAGAGGAAAACTCGGCGATACTCGGTGGGAAATCAATCCAACGAAACCAAGAGACACGAGTGGGCCAAATCAACCAATCCAACCCGAGTATGGCCGGGGAGTTTTGTAGGCAGGCACGAGTTAAAGAAATAGAGAGAAACAGAGGGATAGAGAGAGAGAGAGGGGCAGCGAGTGTGCTGTTTTCCAATGTGTGTGCGTAAGTGCGTGTTTGTGTGACTCCACTCCAAGTCAGTGTTTGCTCCAGGTTGAGTTAAATAGGTGGTCCACATGGGGGCGGGCCTTAAGGATGTCAATCATCACACAGCCGCACAGCACGGGCAAACTGGCGCATCTATGTAAAACATGTCGTCATCTTAGAAAGATTGTTCAAACGGTTTTTACATGTGTTTACAATGGCATCAAGTAAACGTAATGGAGGAACTTTTTCTAAAAAAGCCACATCTCCTTTCACTTATTTTTTCAACGACAAAACAAACTATGAGAACGAGAAGGAGAGAGGGAGAGAGAGAGAGAGAGAGAAAGTATTATTCTAACTTTTTCGGATGAAGATTTCCAACTATCTTAATGATATTTATGAAAAGCTTTAACCCTCTGATTATTAAATATGTCAGGTTTTTGAAAGATAGTGTTCCGCGTATACATTTATATTAAACAAACAGTGAATCATGAATATATATTAAAGAGTGAAATTATAAATCTAGTCAATTTAGGAAAGTTATACGGATTAGATACGACCTCTTGTGATGCCTTCCATATTTCAATCTTCACTTGAAAAATGCACTTAAAATGTAAATCCAGATTTATTCGGAAATTAACTCGTTTCAAGCCTCCCGAACGGCAATGGTAATAATGAATATTGACTATAAAAAATTGATTGCATATTCGTTTCCGGATACAAGTTTACTCTTTTTCTTTAATAAAGAATTAATAAATAAATACTCTAATCCCGTTATATCCAAATTATTTAAAAGAGGAGATTGAGTTTTCAGGTAAAGAAGGTCAAGATGAAAATGATTTGTGAGCTCTTTCCTATATTCGGGGTAATTTACATTTATATTATAGATAAAATTGACTACTCAAGATACAAATGTTTGTTGGACTGTCGAATTAACAGATGTTATACATATTTTGAATAATGTACTTCTGATATTCATGGAGAAAAAAAAAGGAAAAACAATACAAAAGACACGTATTATCGTTTGAATATTGGCCTATACAATTACTTTGTTGTGACCACTGTTAATGATAAGGAAAACATATCTCAAATTGGCAACACTACATATGATGCACAATAATCCAATTGGGAGCTACAGTATGTGCATGACAAGATCAAGATCGACTGTTAGAAATTGTGAAGTCAACCGAGTTCAGGCTCCCCGTCACTATACCACTGGCACCCCATCACCTGCCCTGGACAACAATGCCATACACCTCCCACCAGCACATTGGTTTACTGATATCAACTTTCATGTTACTACCTCGTTACTATCATTTTGCATGTGTGTGTAGTTTCATATTCCTATATTTATGTGCAGTGTATTTTTGGTAAGACTGAGTCAAGTTTAATCATTCCGAAACCTTGCAAAGTAAATCAACTCTTGAGCATCAACTTTTTCTCAGCCAGCTTTTTTCATAATGTAATCATGTGAGAAGTTTTCCTCTTTATTTTAAATGTTATCAAATTCATTTTGACACATTCACAATAGCAAGAGTGCATATGATCTTAACCTAGCTATAACAAAAACTATTTTTCTTTATTTTAATAATGTAATGATATAACTCGCATGGTTTTAAATGTATGACCATATACGCCTATTGATAACAACAGAGATATTATATACATGTATGTATATATATATATATATATATATATATATATATATATATATATTCATGCTCTACATTATTCTTTGGGGTGACATCGACGCTAATCTGAAAACAGAAATAAACCCAACAAGGTTATGTTTTCTTTGCATGCCTTGATTAAATTCATGAAATTGTGAGAATATGCCATGTCCCTAGATACCATTCTATTCAAACAGTACCCCTTGACGGACATCCGGAGGTGGCGGAGATATATATATAAACTACAATCAAATTATTACAACTGCCATCAGCGCCTTGCGGGGATCATTGGATAGAAAAGGCTATGTGGTATTATTCACTTCCAAGTATTCATACATATATTCTGCTTTTGTCATTCCGTAATTTGATGATTGTTGACAAGGAGTCGATGTTTGGAAAGACAGATATGTACCATGGGTGAACTTGGTGAGAGCACCTGATATTTCATATCTACAAGGAGTTGGGAAGAGGAAGTCGGACATTTCACATCTCCTAGAAATCGACAATTGACAAAACTAACAAAACTATATTGTATTGATGGAAAGTCAAGGGGGAATTGGTATTAAACTTAACCCGATCATTTGATCAATGGCGAATCTATATCCAGGCGCTTCTATTGTAATCATTTCTGTATACGTGCCACCTTTTATTTTGTATCTTAATCAACGGGGAAACTGTTTCCCCCTGGACCATGTCACTGTATTAACATACTTAACACTTGTTTTCAAACAAGCAAGATCTTATCCTATGGGTTGTCGAATAAGAAAGTGTTAGTGCATTAAAACGTAAAAGCATTGCTATCAACTTAACAACTTCCGGATGTTTATGTTCATCTATTGCGGATGTTTTTCGTGGATATGGTAAAAACATGAGATTTGTTGAACCCTCTTCTTGCATTCACTCAGTAGACACTCGTATTAATAAATGAGCGGATAATCAATATACCCCATGGACATTCAGTTATGTGCTTATCTATGTTACACCATCTCAATTCTGCGGGAATGTAAAAAGGTGACTGAATAATGAACAGCATTTCGCCGAAGCTCCTCCATATGTTAGATGCATCCAGTTCTGTGTGATTCTGATCTTTAATCAATCAAAACATCTTGCAGCTGTTTTGTTGATTGGAAACATTTCCGAATGTCTATTCTCCAAAACTTAACTACTAGGTGGACAATCAAGATGACAGTATAAAATCGAAGTTAATATCGTTATTAAGCAGTTTACACAAATTCGCAGCAAAATAAATAAATCACTCAACTAATTTGACAGGACTTTTAACCTGTTTCACAATAGAAAGCAGATAGTATAGGTTTCGAACAGTTTTGGCGTCCTTTTATAGAAAAATATATTTCATTGAAAAATAAGGAAATTAAAAAGATTAACAACCATTACAAAAGGCCCTCTGCTCTTTAAGATCTTATTGCCACCAATTGCACTGAAATCTAGGTAACCACTTAACGTTTGGGCGAGAGAGACACACACAGATATACAGACACAAATACAGAAAGAGAGAGAGAGAGAAAGAAAGAAGAAGAAGAGAGAAAGAGAGAGAGAGAGAGAGAAGAAGAAGAAGAAGAAGAAGAAGAAGAAGAAGAAGAAGAAGAAGAAGAAGAAGAAGAGGAGAGAGAGAGAGAGAGAGAGAGAGATACTGACAGACAGAGGGGCAAACAGAGAGACGACTCTACATGTATATATATACTGAATTACATTTAGACATTTTGAACCGTCAATTTTACAACTTGGCGTTACTTTGATGATAAAATATACACACAGTATGTATAAGGTACTGATACTGAGTCGATACAAGTTTCGTAGAATGATAATTATGCAGGATTAAACGATTCTAATTATGATAATGCGAACATTAACCTAAATCGAGACCAAAGTTGGTCACATTGAGGGGCGTTAAGTCGTCAGGCTCTCGCACTTGGAGGTAATGTTTGGAGAACTTGCCACAGATTTATTAATTTTCTCCTGTCCTAATTTTTCCTCTGCTTTCCGTGGGTCTGTTTTCAGTCTAAACCGAGATAAATAATCGAATCTTCGGGTTAGGGATTCAGTGAGCGAGACAGTATCATTCACTGCATATTACATCCCTTCCATCAACATGGTAGCCTGACCTGACATTCCATGTAAGAAGCAATGAATACATGCATACCCCACTCTAAACTTAATTGACTTTGATTCTAATGCTATTACGTGATAATCAAACTAGTGGACTTGCGATTGGTTTTAGTTACTTCTTGATCAGATTACCTCTGCTTCAGGCCTCCTGGGAATTTCGACGTTCTACTTTTCCTTTTATCTTTCATTTCATTTTTACCCTCCTTTCCTCTTTCAGCTTTTTCGGTTCTCTCATTTTTTCCTTTTCCGTGCCATCTCGCCCCTTTGCAGCCCATTTTGGATGACGGATAGGACACAGTACAGTACTAACATAGTTTTTAGTTCCGTTCATATTTCTTAGAGCCAAATTACTGTGAAACTCTTTGAAATAACAACGACTCGTTTTGTTTTTTACGCATCTTATAGAACAGAAAAGCCTATTTGGGTAAAAATGTGATCCTTATCTAGGTTAGAAGTCGTGTAGAAAAAGAAAAAACCTTTCAAAGTGTAGGTACTTTGTCAAGATAAATGAATGTTTTGTGTTATTGTGAAGGACTTGATTGTAAAATGCCGAGCATCATTCGCTGTAAGCACTGACATATTAATTTGGGGGCTGCAGAGAGAGGATGTTTATGTCTTGTCACAAACACAACCCTTTTCCGCCATGTAAATCACACACGAGTTGGTCTTTTCAGACAGTTTCATGCTAACAACACGCCTTTCCCCCATGATGGATAGCTGGCACGTTTTTATTGCATGCCAGTGAGAAAGCTTCGCCATTATTTATTTACAGCAACAAGTCAGCTAGAACTCCTGTTGCTCTTAACCAAAACCCAGCAACATAAAATGGAAAATACGAGCGACACGTAAGATATTTCAAATTTCAGTTTATACATTCACAATGAAGACGATATGAATTTAGTCATGTTATATGAAAAAGGCGAAGACAGATATTGTTACAAGATAGATGGAAACAATTTAGAGAGACAATGTAAAGGTAATCATTTTCCTACTGGGTACCCTAAAGCACCGGGATGGAAAGTGGCAAATACAGATTAATGCCTTTCCTAAGGACATTAGTGCTGCGGCGGAACTCGAACAGCGAACCGTGTGATCCACAGTCCGGTGACGTAACCACTAGACCACGGTAAACATATAGTTATACTTCGTGACATTCTTTCATTAACCAG